TTTACCTGAGTATAAAGGTTTGCAAAAAGCCGAGGAGGGGTGCGGCAGTCTGTGGGAGCACTTGTAGAGGTGCTGTCTGTTCGCCTCTTGCTGATCAGCTTGAATAAATGGTGTTTTACCTGAACCTATTGGACTCTGTGGACTTCTTCGAAAAGGGACCCCGCATCCTAAACCCATGTTCCTTACAGCACTGAAGCCTCACCAACCAATTTCAAAGATGAATTGTCAGAAACAAGACAGTTCCTATTAATCTGCAGGCTTGGAGGCTGTCAAAAATAGTTTTAGGGGTACATGCAACTTCAGGGTCACACATTGCTCACAATGAATTACACTGAACTGTTGTTGCATTTCAGTAAGTAGACTGATTTAGAAAAAAGGCAGTTAAAAAAATGCCAGTCGGTTAATAGCCCTATAAGATCTTACTGATATAGATCAGACTTCTATATTTATGTTAAAATCCTTCTCACATGGAGAATCCTGATCATGTCCCTCAATTATTATGTCCTGCTAAGACTGCTTTTTTCTCCTAATTTTGTAGCCATTTATATTTCCATTGCCTACATTTCACTATTGGTAAAAGGATCAGTTTACATCTTCTTCCTGTTAATTTTGCATGGGTTCTGTAGCCATTCATAATGTAATTGACTATGTTTCATTATTGGCGAAATAATCGGTCTACTTCTTCTCTCTGTTAATTTTGCATGGGTTCTTTACTTTCTATTTCTGTCTGCAAACTGAAAAACTGTCGCAGTCTGCAAATTACACAAAAGCGTTTTTGGACCTTTTTTCTTTATACATAGATCTTAACAATGCCTTTTGTACACACTTTAGTACAAAATAGTACATAAACCAAAAGATTACATCACCCCAGCTGGTGTATAAGTCTAGGAAGTAGAAATGAGGTCAGTTCATTTAAAAACCAGAGTGAACATAAATCTCAAGCATCTCCACTGTGCTAATTCGGCTATCACAGTGTCTGTGTACGCTGGCTGCAACAGTCTGCTTAAAAAAAAGGAACAGAATGTCTAATTTCACAATAGGTCTGGATGTGCTAATGCTGTTGCTACAACACCTTCAGCAAAAAGCTTTACAGTTTAGAGAAATAGTAACACAGTCAAACTCACTCTCTCTCTCTCCCCCGTCTCTTTATATTTATTTATTTATTTATTTATTTATTTATTTATTTATTTTAAGTATTTATATTCCGCCCTTCTCACCCTGAAGGGGACTTAGGGCGGATCACAATGTACACATACACGGCAAACATTTAATGCCATTTTTGACATACAAGACATACAGACAGATAGAGACCATTCAGCAATTCTTCCATTTCGGATCCTGGAGGTTGCTCGATTCGGCCACAAGGGGAGCTGTCGCTTCGTCCACTATGACATCGAGTCTTTTTGATCGTATTATTTCCTCCTTGCTCTCCGGCATTTTTATGGTGTCATAAATTAGCCTCCCCACTTTAAGTGGCCCCTAATTTTTCTACTCACAGCCCTGGTGGCGCAGTGGGTTAAAGCACTGAGCTGCTGAGTTTGTTGATCGAAAGGTCGCAGGTTCGATTCCAGGGAGCGGCGTGAGCTTCTGCTGTCAGCCCTAGCTTCTGCCAACCTAGCAGTTCGAAAACATGCAAAATGTTTAATTATTATTATTATTATTATTATTATTATTAAACTTTATTTGTACCCCACTAGCATCTCCCGAAGGACTCGATGCGGCTTACAAAGGCCAAGGCCTCAACACAACAGCAGTAAACAACAACAATACAAAAGAAAGCAAATTAAAAACATAAGCAATAACAAAACATTACACTATTACACAATAAAAACCATGGCCGGGCCAATGATGGGTACAGGTTAAAAAGTGCTGGGTGTGACAGGAGGTGTATTGGAATTCTGGGCAAGTGCAATGTGCAGAGAGTCTTAAACTCTAGTAAAGTGCTTCTGGGACAAAGTGCTGGGTTATCCTATTCTGGAAAGGCACGTCGGAATAGCCAGGTCTTCAAGTTCTTCCTAAAGACTGCCAACGTGGGAGCTAGTCTAATGTCTTTGGGGAGGTCGTTCCAAAGTCGGGGGGCAACCACAGAAAAGGCCCTATCCCTCGTCCCCACCAAGCGCGCCTGCGACGCAGGTGGGATCGCAAGCAGGGCCTCTCCAGATGACCGAAGGGAGCGTGTGGGTACATAAGCGGAGATGCGGTCACGGAGGTAGGCAGGTCCCAAACCGTTTAGGGCTTTGTAGGTAAGCACCTGCACCTTGAATTGGGTTCGGTAGGTAAACGGCAGCCAATGGAGCTCCTTAAACAGGAGGGTTGACCTCTCTCTGTAAGGAGCACCAGTTAACATCCTGGCCGCCGCCCGTTGAACCAGTTGGAGTTTCCGAGCCGTTGGAGTTTCAGAGCCAGCCAAATCAGCCTTTGCGAGGTACGGTCGCAGAGTAGATCAATAGGTACCGCTCTGGCGGGAAGATAATGGCGCTCCATGCAGTCATGCCAGCCACATGATCTTGGAGATGTCTATGGACAACGCCGGCTCTTCGGCTTAGAAATGGAGATGAGCACCACACCCCAGAGTCAGACATGACTGGACAATGTCAGGGGACAACCTTTACCTTAATTCCTCTACTCACAGCTCACAGCTGTTTTCAAACTGCTTAGGTCGACAGTGAGCCGAGCATTTTTTTAACAGCTATTTTTTTAAACAGCTATCAACAGTTGGGCACTCAACCCAGACTTGGGCTTTGAACTTGCCACCTTTCGGATGGCAGTGATTTATTGCAGCTGATTAACCAGTTGTGCTACCAGCCCAGCCCTATATATCTTGATGTCTTGGTTCTCAGGCTTATTCCTGGGGTTGTTTGGGACTGATTCAGAAAATTGCATTGGAAAGACCACATCAGCTCTAACTTCCTATATATGATTATTATGGTTTTCTATAGATGGCAACTGGTAGATACCAAGTGTTCTGTATTCACTCCCACCTTTGTCAAAAGTACAACTTGTGGGGATGAGGGAGAGAGCCCTCTCCGTTGTGGTGCCTCGTCTTTGGAACTTGCTACCTAGTGAGATTAGACAAGCCCCTACCCTGGCAGTTTGTAAGGAAGACCTAAAAACTTGGCCCTTCCGATGTACCTTTGGCAATCAACATATATTCCATATTTTGTCTGGTCCAACTACAGTTCCATCCTCTTGATGCACTTTCCTCCTGCCCTTAATGAAGGTTGTTGCGCTTAGTCTGGTCCAATGCAAAAGATACAATAACTTTGCACAAAAGCAGGAGGAAAAAAAACCCCAGAAAATTTTACTTTTGTTAGCAGAGTCAAAACATAAACTATAAGTGTTGCATATAAAATAAACAGTGCAACAAACTTACATAGTCCTTGTAAGAAATACAGAATGCAAAGAGCTTGGTTTCTTCATCTCCCTTCAAATGAGTAGTGAAAATGGTTAATGTATTGTCGAAATGTATTATAATGTATTGTGAAAATGGCTGAGCAAAACGCTGTGAGCAAAAGACACCTCAGAGCAAATGCTTCTGAACATAGAGCTGAACTGTATTCTAAGCCACATACAGTTATACCCCACCGGGTGTGGCTCAAACTACTTGCTGACCTAGATTAGCAGCTGCACATTATAATTAACAGTATTAGGTTTTCTTTAACACACACACACCTCATGATGCACTTTCCCCTTGCCCTTAATGAAGGTCTAACCTCATTATTTGTTCCTTTTGAGCTCCTCCCTCAGAAACACATTCTCCCACCACTTATCTCATCCATGGTTTCATCATTTTTATCTTAGTGCATTTGGCCTGCCTGCTATGTTCTATTTCTCTATCATGTTATTTTGTAATTGTTTATTTTATTTTGTTATTTCATGTATTTATTTTGATGGTATTTTCTGCTTCTTTGTATTTTATTTTGCTGTACTGTAATTTTGAGCTAGGTCTCATGTTAGCTGTCCCTAGTTCTCTTTGGGGAGATGATGGTGGGGCAGAATCATAGAATCATAGAGTTGGAAGAGACCTCATGGGCCATCCAGTCCAACCCCCTGCCAAGAAGCAGGAAAATTGCATTCAAAGCACCCTCCAACAGATGGCCATCCAGCCTCTGCTTAAAAGCTTCCAAAGAAGGAGCCTCCACCAGACTCCAGGCAGAGAGTTCCACTGCTGAACGGCTCTCACAGTCAGGATATTCAGATGGAATCTCCTTTCTTGTAGTTTGAAGCCATTGTTCTGCATCCTTGTCTCCAGGGCAGCAGAAAACAAGCTTGCTCCCTCCTCCCTATGACTTCCTCTTACATATTTATACATGGCTATCATGTCTCCTCTCAGCCTTTTCTTCAGGCTAAAACATGCCCAGCTCTTTAAGCCATTCCTCATAGGGCTCATACTCCAGACCCTTGATCATTTGAGTTGCCCTCCTCTGGACACATTCCAGCTTGTAAACATCTCTCTTCAGTTGTGGTGTCCAGAATTGGACACAATATTCCAGGCAGAATAGAGGGGTAGCATGACTTCCCTGGATCTAGACACTACACTCCTATTGATGCAGGCCAAAATCCCATTGGCTTTTTTTGCCGCCGCATCACAAATAAATAAAGATTATTATTATTATTATTATTATTATTATTATTATTATTATTATTATTATCACAGTATGTGATATTATTATTATTATTATTATTATTATTATTATTATCTCAAAACTGGTGCTGTTTTTGGAACCAGTGGGTCAAATATACCCAGAAACAGGGCTAACATTTGGGGAACTAGAATGTGTGTTGGTCAGTGTGATAAATTAAGGGTGGTGGAAAGTACAGCAGTCTCTTTTGTTGCTCATGCAGAAAGTACATTTTGAGAAAAAGGTTCCCAAAATCTCCAGCAAAGACCAAATGGAGACGGTAATTTAGCAGGGACAATTGTCAGGAAATACAGTCTGTTCCTGGGTCTCGGAGCATATTCCCAGGTCTCTGAGCATAATACTGAAATCTCAACCTACCTGCCGAGCAGTCTGGGCCCTGGTAGCCCTCCTCACAAGAGCATAGGCCTTCCTGGCAGGATCCACGTCCACTGCAGGCATTAAGGCATCTCAGCTGCCCACAGTCTTCCCCCACGTAGCCCTCCTGGCAGATGCAAGTCCCGTTGGCACACTTTCCCTTCCCTGAGCAGTCTGCAGGACATCTGAGTTCACTGCAGTCTTCACCAGCAAAGCCCTCCTCACAGATGCATTCTCCATCCACACAGAGTCCCCGGAAAGTGCAGTCGGTTGCGCAGCGTGCCTCGGAGCAATCCTCCCCACTGTAATCGCCATCACAGATGCATTGGCCATCCACACACACACCTCGGCTGGAGCAGCCCATGGGGCAGAGGGGCTCTGAACAGTTCTTCCCAGTCCAACCTTCATTGCAAATGCAGCCACAGGATTCCAGGCTAAAATTCCCATGGCCACTGCAGTGGGGGAAGTAATCCAGCTGCCCTGGAAAAGTGAGGAAAAAATATTATTGATCGCACATTGCATGTTCTGTAAGATTCACCACATTAATCTTTAGAATATATCAAATGTGGGCAATAGTCTCTCCATATTGAAAGTGGGCCATAATAGGACCAGTATGCCACTATCTTCCTTGGGTGGCTATCAGGGCCCTAGCACTATCGCCTTTGCCTCTAATGTCTCCCATTTGCTCAATTTTTCCTTCCCTCATGCTTTGAAGCTGTTTCAAGCCATTTTCAATTTTCAACAGTGCTTCCAAAGTTGCATTGTATTGATTAACAGCTTAGAATGAAAATGGGTGCCAAAGCCCACTGCCTCATGCTATTTGGAGAACTCTTGCTGTCTCCCATTGTTGGTGCCAGGGAAGCCTGTCCCTGATCCTTGTGCTGTTGTGCGCTGGGCCTATAGCAATTGGCTTTTGAACAGGACGTGTTCTTTGTGCCCAGCGGGAAGTTGGGGTGCCTCGGATGAGAGACCCTATGGGTTTTCCTATACAAAGTCTTTAGAAGCTTAAAAGTTTAACAAAGTTCTTTATTATTGCTTAGGTCTTCAACAAACAATCTTAGATCTTCAACAAATCAAACAAATGCTTCTTAACTTGTCTACAATGGACAGGCAACTTACTTGGAGAACTATTTCTTTCCTTTACAAGGAAAACCCTTTTTGACCCCTACCTGGGCAATCTGCTTTCTAGGCTTTGCTGGTGTGGGCCCTGCTCCCGGCTCCAAATTGCTTCTTGGGTACCCGAGTAGACCTACCAGCCAAGGCTCTGAAGAATTTCCAGCTGGAGTCCTTAGGATTTTTCCCACGAAAGTTGTAGGTCCGTTTCTCCAACCCCAACAAGGGTTGTGCTGTAAAGCTGTTTCTCTTAAAAGCCTTTCTTTAGAGACTGTTCTTAAAGCTGTGAGGCTGTAAATTCCCCAGCCAGAGCTTTTGGGACTGTTTCCCCCCGGACTTTGTAAGAAACAAAGCTTCTCTACAGGTAGAAAACTTTCACGTCCTGTAGCTGAGCTTTCAACTGTAAGACTGAACTAAAATGGTATTCCCTTTCCCTCTTGAACCTGGAAAAAAGGGCAGAACTAAAACTTAATGATGATAGACAGGTGGCTAGCCCCATGACTGCAGCCTAGCAGGAACCATCCAACTGAAAAATGCATGGCCAGAACAAGCACATGCAAACGCTCAAAGAATGAAAAGGAGTTTGAAGCTCCTGGTACAGCTGTACTAGCACAATCCTCATGGCAACTATGCTGATGGCTGCTCAAACTTGGAGCTAAGTATGGTGCATGTGTATGTATACCTCCTCTTTCCAATTCTCCATAATTCTTCCTATAACTCTGTTCTGTACCACCAGCCTATTTCTTTGCCTAAGCACTGACTATCCATTCTCTAAACTTACCTAGAAGAAATGCCTTTGAGTATAATTTCCATTTTCTCCCTGGAGGGCTGCATCTAGAAGGCTCTAATGATAGCATCCTAGCTCTCAGAATGCTTGGGATATATGATTCTGAAGGGCATTTGTCCTCCTAATATAGACTTAGGACCTCATCCTATTTTGGGGGTGGGAAGCGGGGGAAATGGTCTTCTTTGTGTGGTTTCACAGAATTTAAAAAACGGAGAATTTATTCATCCCCATCACAGAAGATCCCCCCCCCCCCGCTTCTAGCTCAACCACACATGTAATTCCCATCACACAGGCAGGAAATGTCTCCTCCCATTTCAAGGATACATGCACACTTTTTAAAACAGGCATCCTTTTTGAGACACTGCTTTCCCTGAGGTCGTTTGCCCTCAATACACTTTTAAATTAACTATAAAGGCACCCTTTTCAAACCGTTTTTTCAATGGGATCCACACCATCTGAAGGAGCATTAGCATACCATCCACAAGAGCGCTCACACTTTCATGTCACAAAAACCTTCTAAAACAGAGAAATCCGAAAGTTTCCATCCCATCTTAAAATAAGCATCTTTATTCATTTCTATGTGAATGTGGGGCTTTGGAGTCAATTGCTCCCTGACTCCAAAAATCTCTGTTTCTACGAATGTCAGAAACTGAGTTCTATAGGGAACCAACAGGAAGTACTCTTGTGTCATTTGATGAGCTCCATGGGGCTGAGGACTTCATCACACGGGGACTGCATGGTGACTCTGTACAACAATTGTGGTGCAAGTTTTTCGTGCTTCGTAAGGAACAATGGGGCCAGTGCAGGAAAAAGATGTGTAGTGATGCTTCTCCGTGTGTTATGGGGAAGCATTGACACAGGTGAGGTGGGATGTAGGGATTGCCCCACTGTCCCACTGATTTGCCACGGATGCTAACCAGGGCTGACTTTAAATGGATCCAGATTGGCTAGTTTTGGGCTAACACTTATACATTTCTAAAATTCAACATTATTGGCTCATTATATTAATTTTTCCATCAGTTTAATATTAGAATAATTTGTGTGTCTCAGTTTTGAAGTCCATCAGCCATGTTTTCATTTTTCCTGTCATAATATAAATCTGTCCAGCTCATAATGGTTTCTTATACTATAAATTGAGAGCTACTGCTCTGGGTTCTTTGGTACTTTGGCCACATCATGAGAAGAAAGTTCTCATGTTCTGAAGTACTTTGGCCACATCATGAGAAGAAAGGAAAGCTTAGAGAAGACAATTATGCTGGGGAAAATGGAAGGAAAAAGGAAGAGGGGCCGACCAAGGGCAAGATGGATGGATGGTATCCTTGAAGTGACTGGATTGACCTTGAAGGAGCTGGGGGTGGTTACGACCGACAGGGAGCTCTGGCGTGGACTGTTCCGTGAAGTCATGAAGAGTCAGAAATGACTGAACGAATGAGCAACAACAAGCTCTGGGTTCTTCCGTAGCTCAAATTTTAAAGTAAGTTTTCTCCGTATTATCTTCCCTTCTCTTTTTTGTGCTTAGAATACTAGAATAGATGACCGTTGGTGGTGGGAAGTCTGAGAAATCCAATTCATTGAAATAAACATAAGAAACTTTGTGTCCCAGGAGTTTTTATGTCAGAGAAAACTGTCATAAACACGCTCAATAGCACTGCAGGCACAAGCAACCATTGGACTTGTACTTTCCAGGCCACTGAATGTCCATGCCCAGTCACCCTGGAAAATGAAATTTCCCAAGGCCTGTGGTGCCCGGACTGTTGCCATTGCAGCATTCAAGGAAGCAACACAGGACAAATAACGCTTCATAAAAAAGCCTCCAAACCCTGCTGCTGCATTCTGATAAATGGGAAAGGAATGGGCAGGCAGACCCAGGAGGCTTGGAGGGTTCATAGGTAGGGTGAATATTCACACTGTATCGTAAGTGTGATGCAAAAATGTGATGTAGGCCTGAAATTGGAACTGGGCTTGGAAAAATTGATTCTTTTGTTATTTTCTTTCCTGAATAAAAGCTAAACTGAGGGTTTTATGTAAGATCTTTAGGCTGTGCCAATTCTTTGTATGTTTTACAGAAAAAATGTACCTTTTCAGGGAAGGCAAACATTTATCCAAAAGACCATTGCTTCCAAGGGGAGAATGCTATTTTTTTGCTCATAAACCAAGTAATCCAGCAGTCTTTCTTCCATTTTGCAAAAGCTAAGAATTGCCCGTCACTTTAGTGAGGGTGAATGTTTTTGCTCCGCTCTGTTTGTGTGTGCACCTATTTTACAAAAAGTCCTCATATTCCCAATGCAGGGAACAGGCAGTCAAAATAGCACATTACAAAATAATTATATTGAATTAGAGGAGAGACACCAGAAGGGAATGTATGTTGAATAAATAGTGGTAATGGAAAAAAATCCTCTTTGCTGTCAAAATTCAGTCCCATGATCAGGATCCTGAAGGTGACATAGGACCTCATCATGTATGTCACCTAATGTGAGCAACAGCGGGGGATTTGACAGGCAATGTGACAAATTTGGCAGGCAGCGGGGAAAACTGGTGCTTTCCCTATCCCACAGGGGAAAGGACTGCCGCCTGGATTCACCCAAAGCTAGCCCCATTCTTGTCTATGAGAACACGGGAAGCCTCCTGTGTTCTCTGGGCAACTTCCTAGGATGTGGAAAGAACAGAGCCCCGCTGGACGTAGCCCTACATTGTCTGATGGGCTCCAGCAGGCTCCTTCCTCCCAGTGCCCTGGAAGTGTCCTAGAACACCGACATTTTCTAATGTGGTGAGGTCCATAAACTTTAGGGAAGATGTTTCATAAAAAAGGACAAGTTAATAGTTTGTTGAGGGATGAATCACTGGATGTATTTTTAAAAGAATGGAAACCTTTCTATCAATATATATCCGAGAGAGAGGAAAGGATTTTATGTACAGATTTGGAGATATAAATTGGCAGAATATTCATTTGTTAACGTGAAAACAAGTGAAAGAAAACAATTTCCAGGATATAAGGAGGAAGAGAAATATTAAACTATAGAGAAACCATTAACATTTTGAATTAAAATGCCTGTGGAATTTGCTCCCCAGTGAAATTAGATCAGCGCTCTCCCTCCTTTCTTTTGATGGGGGAGATATTGGAAAAATAGATATTTATGTATGTATAAATTGTATGTACTTCACAAGCACTGAAATGTATACAAACATCAGGTTCTCTCTCTCTGTATTAGAAAGAATGCTGAAGGAGATCTGTGCCCAAGGCACGGGCGGGAGGGGGGGGGATGAATATTCCAGAAAGGGGGAAGATAAGCCTGTCCTAGTAGCAACAGAGTTAAGTAAAAAGTAAGGAGCCAATCCCCCCTCCCTCCTGACAGGTCAAAGTAGGCCCCTTGATTGATGAATGTAAGCTGTAAGCTGTATGCCACTCTTTAGAAAGAAATACAAAGACATGCCTTTTGTATGTTGCAAGATAGAATTAGATGCTAAAATGACGCAGTGAATGATTTCAATGTATGTAGAAACATGCTTCTTTGTTTGCCTGCATTCGAAGTGTATAAAAGGCAGTCAACACCACTCTGGTTGCTTTTGGACACAGCTCCAC